AGAATGCAAGAATGACCATAATTTTAGACCTCTATCACATCCCAACTTTGCAGTCTCTTTTCAAAGCTGAAAAGTCACAGTCATTAATCTCCCCTCATATGACAGCCATTCCATACTACTCATTGTTTTGTTGTCCTTTTTTGAACCTTTTCAAATTCCAATATTTCTTTTTTGAGAGGAGGTCACATCTGAACTTATATAAATCCATGGGACATCCATATTTTAAATAAGAGGCAGTAAGATATTATCTGTCTTATTCTCTATCCCTTTCTTAAAGATTCCTAACATTTTGTTTGCTCTTTTGACTGCTGCTGCACATTGAGTGGATGTTTTTAGAGAACTAGACACAGTGCCTTCAAGAGCTCTCGAGTGGTAACAGCTAATTTAGTCCCCATCATTTTATGTGTTTACTTGGGATTATGTTTTCCAATATGCTTTAATTTGCATTTGTCAACATTGAATTTTATCTCCCATTTTGTTGCCCAGTCACTTAGTTTTCTGAGATCCTTTATGATTAAAAATTGACCAATTATTAAAGCCTAGGCACTTAGTTTTGTGAAATCTTTTTGAAGAATGAAAATGGATACATTATTTTGGAGTGAATCTGTGAAAATTCACTTTTCTGCAAATTTTCAATGTGAACATGCCATAGCCATTGAGATGAAAATATAAACAAAGCAACATTTAGGGAGTATGAAATCTCATGAAAAAATGTGAGTATTTTAGTGAGAAACTCTGCAAAACCAAAAAAAAAAAGTGTTTACATAGGTATTAGTTGGAGGCACTTGTCCCTGTGACACAGGGATTTGTCAGTTGGAAGGGAACAGTCTAATCACTGTAGTTGGGAGAATTTTGGCAGTTGGTGAGGGAGGTTTGGGTGGGTGGGTCATGCTGGAGAACTAAAAAGATTTGGACCCCAAATTCATCTTTCTGGGGTGTGGGAGATTGTAAGTGCATGCCAGATGTCACATATGAAGAGATTGGCCTTCAAAAGTGTTGGACCTTGGGCAGTAATATAGGTGACCTGTATGTTGTCTTAGGTAAGATCTTAATTGGCTCCCAAGCTATCTCTTGGTGGAGGTGTTGGATATGACATCCCAGCATCTTTCCAAATGGTTAAGTCATGTTCATTCCTTTTTTCAATCTGTGGCAAAGTTAGGCTACTAATTCCCACTTTCTCTGCAGCCACATTGGGAATTTGTCAGATGCTTTCTGATCCATTAATTCTATTCTAAATGAATGCATCTGAATCATTATTACAGAATTAAAATTCAGAAGCTCAGTACCTTAAGATTTTTGCTGTATGCATTTCCTGCTATTTTATCTGCAGCTGCAGAAGCTGGGTCCAGTCAAGTCTGTGGAAGGATAAAACTCTTATGATAATCCTATATGGGATAAAATGGCCCAGTTGAAGCTTGTCTGGGACTAGAATATTTACTGGTGCTGATAATCATATACTAAATGCAAAGACTCAATAATACTAAATTTTAACTCTTGTTTCTTCATTCCATCTTTCTTAGAAGCAAACATTCAAATCCCATCAGGGTCAACTTGACCCTGCATCCTTTTTAGGTATGCATATATACATTATCTAGCTATATAATGTGTGTGCATGTCTTCCAAGCAGTTTCCTATGTCAGTCGTGTCTGGATGTGATCTTAAAACCAAAGTCCTGTCTGCTTTGGTGAACGCAGTTAACCAAATCTTTGCTTAAGATTTCTGGTACCACAATATTTTTCTGCAGGATACTGTGCGCCAGAGTGCTGTTACTATGCTTTACCCCGTGAAGTAGCTGCATTTTAGTGGTATTATATACATATAGTTTGTGAAGTGTTTTGGGGTGGATCATAGGGTTGGAAGAAACCTCAGGACGTCATTGAGTCCCATACCTTGCTAAAAGCAGGACTAATCCCAACTAACTCATCCTAGCCAGGGCTTTGACAAGCTACGACTTAAAAGCCTCTAGGGATGAAATTTGCTATATTATTTCTATTAATTATTTAATGTGACAAATTTCAAGTGTCACGTTATTGGATTCTAAAGATTGTTGCTGCACCCATGGGGCGGGATGTTTGCCCCAAAAGTCTGTACAAAGGGGGTCATGTGAGATGTTGAATGAAAGCTTATGTTCTACTGATTCTGTATGTGCTACTCATGTACTTGTATAATATCTGTATGTGGAGTTTATAAATAGGTACTCTGCGCTGTTGCTGGAAAATGCTCTGTCTGAGGCAGAGCAATGTGCCAGGAATGTTCGTTTAATGGCTATGCTAATTAGTGAGGCTCCATGGACAATAGATCTCTAAGTGCCAGAGACATACCTGAAGGAATATGTCTAGCTACCTGCAAACCAGCCAGGGCATAATGGCTGCAAGCATGTGAAACAAGGATAGATCCCTGACATGTGACCTGCTACAGCTTGGAAGAGACCAGGGATGGATATATAAGTGCCATGTGGCACCCTCCATCTTGTCTTGAGTTCAGCTCCTGATCCCAGATGCAGCCTTGCAGGGAACAACGAGCTGGGAAGAACCGTGGACCCATCCTGATATAGGATGTGCATCAGAGACTTTTAAGATAGCAGTTTATAACATCTCTGCTAAGAGCCTGTATCAAGAACTTGGTGATTGGTGCATGTAATGTATTTTCTTTAACAACCTCATGATTTTCTTTCTTTTAGTAATAAACCTTTAGATTTTAGATCCTAAAGGATTGGCTCAGCGTGATCTTGTGGGTAAGATCCAAAGTGTAAATTGACCTGGGAACTGTGGTTGGTTTCTCGGGACCGGAAGAACCCATTTGGGGTAGGTGAGATTGGGTTCTATAACCCCTCACCTGTGTGTTAGGCCTGGGGCTGATTGGGGCACAGAAAGAGCTGGGGTGCCAGAGGGGTTTTGCTCGTGAGACTTCTGGCTGGCCAGATTGGCAGCTGAAGCGCTCGATGTGACTGGTTTGTGGCCTGTTTGGGAAGGTCCCCGGTCTGGGGCTGTAAGGAGCCCTGAGTTTGAGAAATTTGCCCTGAGTGGATGCCCTCAGTGGTGCCCAGACCCAGCCCGGTCCGTCACACTTGCTAAAAGCAGGACCAATCCCAACTAACTCATCCTAGCCAGGGCTTTGACAAGCTGGGACTTAAAAGCCTCTAGGGATGAGATTTGCTATATTATTTCTATTACTTATTTCATGTGACACATTTCAAGTGTTGACATCTCTTGCAAATTTTATAACATGTCTTGTGCTATCTGGTGGTTTTCTTTAAGCCTCATTTTCTGGAGTGATGTTAATTTGTGAAAAAATCAGCTTTCATTTAATAGGAATAAGTAAGCTTCTTGCCCTAATAATTGTGGAGAAAAGATTGAAGGGAACTAAAAAGAACGTGTGTGTGTGTGTGTGTGTGTGTGTGTGTGTGTGTGTGTGTGTGTGTGTGTGTGTGTGTGTGTGTGTGTGTGTGTTAGTTAAATCTCATGATTTGGGGTGAGGCCTGCCTCATGGCTTTTGAATGCCTCAGGTTGTCAATTCTGTCTTTTACAGATCATTGCTCCCAGAGTGCATTTTGCCCCATGTACATTATTGGACAGTGAAATAATTTAGTACAGGTCGAACTTCTCTGGTCCGGCACCCTTGGGACCTGACTTGTCCAGGACAAGGGGATTTGCTGAACCAGGGGAGGTCCCTTCCCTACTGGCCTGCGTTAAACTGATGCCCCTGTGATGGGCTGGACTAGGCCCCAACACACCCTACAGGAGGCTAGTGGCCTTGCTGCCCTCCATCCCAGCAGAAAGAGGGGAGAAGAGGTCCTCCAGACACTATAGAGTAGCTGTCTCTGCAGCAGCCAATCAGGACCCAGCAGAGGGGTATAAAAGAAGCTTCAGGGCTGTGGCCTGCCAGTTCTCTTCAGGAGCTCTACCCAGTCAGGTCTATATCCTGACTGGGGGATCAGCACTATGGCTAGCTCCCAGTGTGAGCTGAGCCTAGATCTGGGTAAAACCCAGGCCCACTAGCGAAAGATCAGCTGCAACCAGAGACTTACTAGCATTGTGGACGGGGGTAGTCAGGCCCTAGTTCTAGGACTTTGAGGACAACCAGACAATCAGGCAAGAATCCTGCACAGCACCACTTGGCCACAGCAGGGCGCTCACCAGCGGGTGGACCCGTTATACCCTTCCCACCCAATGCCCATCCCACTGCTGCCTGGCCAGCCATTGCTCCCTGGGCTGGAGCTCTGCCACTCCTGCTGGCCCTGCTGCTGGGGTCAGCTGTGCAGTAGGGGTCAGAGCTCCCTGGCATCAGTTGGAGCCGGAGCTGGAGCTTTGTGGCTCTGCATGGTGCATCTCTGCATGGCGCATGCCCCTTTGGGGGGGGGAGGGAGCTGTGTGCTACCCCCAACACAATTCTTGCAGTTCCTGTTGGTCAGACATGGGCCAAGGGGCACTGCCTGGGATGTGCTTGAAGGTGCATGCAGTATGTGGAGACACTCCCCCCTCCCCCCGGGGGCGCACAGCGCAGACACACATGCTAGCCCCAGCAGTGGACCACTTTAAGCAGCATGTGGGGCTGTAGCAGCCAGGGACCCTGCTTGAGAGTCACCACTGGCTGCAACTGCCAGAGGTAAGTGCTTCCAGGCCAGAGCCTGCACCTGGCCCCCCACTCCCTTCTGCACCCAAGCTCCTGCCGCAGGTTAACCCAACCCTCTACACCCCCTCTTGCATCCCTGCCCCAGATCATAATCCAATCCCTAGACTTTAGCTACACTCAGTCCACAATTGCCACTTCTACACCCCTCCTCCAGGTCAGAATACTATCCTTCAGCCAACTTCCCCTCCCCCCAAACCCACACCCCATCCTGCATCCCAGTCCCCTCCTCAGGGCTCCCTTCTGTACCCAACTTCTGTCCCAGATCCTGCACCCCCTCCATTAATATCATAAAAGAGTGTGTGGCCTTTCACCACGTACCAAATTCTTGGAGTGACACCACCCTCCAATAAAAATGATTGCTCACCCCATGCACTAGCAGAAGATCTAAGGTGGAGGAACTCAGTCTCTGCTCCTTCTCTCACTTCTTTCCCAAACCCTGACAACCCAGGGAAGTCAGCCCTGGTAAAAAGGGGGGGGGCAAAGAGGATATAGAGCCAGGGCTCCCCTTGAGCTGTGAGTCTTCAAGCAACCCAACCGTGGTCTCTTCACTGCCACTCCCCTCTGGACCTCTGCTCACACAGCCCCTGGCATTATTCACCACTTGCCCCTGGCGGATAGTCAGCATTAGTTTCCCGCCCTGCACCCCCACTTTACTGCAGACTGAGCTCTGGGGCAAGCGCCTTTAAAAACCCGTCTTTGTCCACCCCACCCGTCAATTTTGTGTTTCTGTTCGTTAGAGCAGGGGGCTGGGGAGCCAGGCTTCTGGGTACCTCTCCTGAGCACGCCCCAGCGCTGCCCTGCTGCGCCTCACGCGTGCCCGCTCGGCTGAGGAGAAATGCAGGGGCTTGCCCGCCCTAAGGGCGCCGGGTCTGACTCGCTGCCCCAGGCGGCGCGTGAAGACGCTGGACTTCCAGGGGTGGGGGGGGCGGGCCCCTTTCTCTGGGGCTGTTCCAGCTCCCACCTTCGGGCAGCTCCGGCTCTGCCTGCCGTGGACGAAACTGGTAAGCGCCCGCTGTAAGGCGCTGCCGGGGCGTGGGGCAAACCCCTCCCCCTTGCCCGCCACCCTGCTTCGTGCAGCTCGGCCCCGCAGCCAGGCCGGGCCGCGCTACCAGGGCAGGTTCCCTCTGCCGCTCCCCGAGCCCCGCCTCTCTCGTCCCCCACCTTCGGGCAGCTCCGGCTCTGCCTGCCGTGGACGAAACTGGTAAGCGCCCGCTGTAAGGCGCTGCCGGGGCGTGGGGCAAACCCCTCCCCCTTGCCCGCCACCCTGCTTCGTGCAGCTCGGCCCCGCAGCCAGGCCGGGCCGCGCTACCAGGGCAGGTTCCCTCTGCCGCTCCCCGAGCCCCGCCTCTCTCGTCCCCGGCAGAGGGCTGGGCTGCCTATGGCGGGGGCGGGGGGGCGGCGG